ACTTATGGTCAAGATGGAGGCATAGGTAGACATACTTCACCCCCTTGTGCAACCAATTAAGGATCACAACCTTAAAACAAAAACACCCAGAACTGCCACAAAAAACAATCTGTATAGAAGCCTGACAACCAAGGATTTAAAGAAGCCACATTCATCCAGACAGGAGGGGCAAATATGGGAAGCTGGGGCTGAGAGGACATGACATGGTGGTGGTGAGGTGGTGGTCGGCAGAATGAGCGGCCCCCATGTGTGGTGGATAAAAATTGGGAGGGATACTTTGGGAGCGAGCGATCCCAGCCTCAGTCCAGACCATGCAGCCCAGTGTTCAGGGGCCTGGAAAACAGCCTCCTAACTTCTGGCTGTAATACCTAGTGGGGGTGGGGTGGAAGAAGACACTGCTGATCTCTCAGGAGAGTCCATTTAAAAGGCCTGCATGGTTCTAAAATGTACTTAAACGCACCCACTCCAGGAACCGCCACCAGGGCAACACCTAGAAGATGGAATGGATGCAAAGTGAAGTGAGTGGAAATGAGGCAAGTGCTGATCAAGCCTCCAGCAACAGGCAGCAGCACTGTCACCTCAACTGCTCCCTTCCCCACACAGAGCCACAAAGAAGCAGGTTGCTCCATCCTGGTGAATACCTAAGACTCCTCCCCATACAACTTAATAGGTGCACTGAGACAGGGAGTCAAAGCAGCTTTGCTTAATACACAGAAACAAACACAGGGAGGCTGCCAAATCGAGGAGACAAAGACATATGGCCCAAACAAAAGAACAGAACAAAAGCCCAGAAGAATACTAAACAAAACAGAGATAGCCAACATATCAGATGCAGAGTTCAGAACACTGGTGATAAGGATGCTCAGAGAATAAAGTAAAAGCGCAGGGGAAGAAATGAAGGCTACAGTAAGTGAAATAAAGAAAAATCCACAAGGAACCAACAGTGAAGGGAAGGAGGCCAGGGTTCAAACTAACAATTTGGAGAGGAAGAAATAAACTTTCAACCAGAACAGAATTAAGAAAAACAAAAAACAAACAAAAAAAACCACCCAAACAAAAACAAAACAGAAGCCCTGGCTGGTGTAGCTCAGTGGATTGAGCGCGGGCCTGCGAACCACACGATCGCGGTTCGATTCCCAGTCAGGGCACATGCCTGGGTTGCAGGCCGGTTCCCTGCAGGCCAGTTCCCAGCAGGGGACGCACAAAAGGCAACCATACATTGATGTTTCTCTCCCTCTCTCCTTCCCCCCCTTGCCCTCTAAAGATAAATAAATAATAAAATAAAATAAATTAAAAAAAAAAACAGAGAGAGAATAAGACTCTGGGACATCTCCAAAAGTGTCAACATCTAAATCATAGGGGTGCCAGAAGGTGAAGAGGAAAAGCAAGAAATTGAAAACTTTTATTTGGAAAAAATAACGAAAGAAAACTTCCCTAACTTGGCAAGGGAAAGAGAAAAAGGCAGAGTCACCTACAAAGGAGTTCCCATGAGACTAGCAGCTGATTTCTCAGAGACCTTGCAGGGAAGAAGGAGCTGGAAAGAAGTATTCCAACTCATGAAAGGATAGGACCTACATCCAAGATTGCTCTATCCAGCAAAGCTTTCATTTAGCATTGAAGGGCAGATAAAGTGCTTCTCAGATAAGGTCAAGTTAAAGGAATTCATCATCACCAAGCCCTTATTATGTGAAATGTTAAAGGGACTTAAATTAAGAAAAAGGTAAAAACTATGAACAGTAAAATGACAGCAAACTCACAACTATCAGCAACTGAATCTAAAAAACAAAAACAAACTAAGCAAACAACTAGAACAGGAACAAAATCATAGATATGGAGATCATTTGCAGAATTACCAGCTGGGAAAGGGAGAATGGGGGAAAAGGTACAGGAAGTAGCATAAATAGTAGGTACAAAATAGGGCGAGGTTAAGAACACTATAGGAAATGAAGGAGCCAAAGAACTTACATGTATGACCCACCGACATAAACTAAGTGGGCGATGCTGGAAGGAATGAGGGTAACAGGTGGAAGATGGCAAAGGGGGAAACTGGGAGAACTGTAATAGCATAATCAATAAAATATACTTAAAAATGTCAATATTTATTGACATGAAATTATAATCAAGATCAATTAAGTGGAAACGGTTATATGCCATATATACGTATCAGTCCATACTAATAAATACATACACAAGCATACACAACACATACTCATACACATACGCAGGAGTACATATTGAAGACCAGGATTTATATCAAACTATCAGTAAGAGTTATGAACTCTGGGTGTTAAGTTTGCAAAATTCTTCTTTACCTTTTAGCAGTTATTTTATTTTTCTACTATAAACACCTATTATAGGTAGAATTAAAGAAAATGTGGGTGAGCGAAGCAGGGGAGAACAACAGGAAAAACTGGGAGAACTCTAATAAAGCAACAATTTTAAAAATTTACAAAGAAAATGTAAGTGGGAACCACAGACTTGAGTTTACCACATGATCTTAAGGAGGCAATATGTGTGCTTGGAGGTGGGGTAGGGGAGGGTGCTCCCCGGGTATATATTTGAGGTGCATGCTCCCAAAAGTTCTGTGTTGCTTCTCGACCCTGTCCAGTGTTTCCATACAACAGCTCCACAGGTCACAGAGAAAGGCTTCACGTCCAAGTTTCAGCAGTGCTAGATTGACAGCAATACATTGTGTTTACTACGCAGCACTTGATACACATTCACTGGGTCACAGAACCCTTTATTTCTTAGAGAGAAATAATAGGACTTTTGCTTAACATACTTCAGGAAATGTCAATGTAAAACCCTGAAAAATAAGAGTTTTATACCATGTATTTCTGCTGAGCTTCTGGCCTGTTGTCCTAGATTGACTCATCTCAAAACATCTCAGCCCCACATTTATCGTATCTTTGGAGTCTCAAGCTTTAGTTTTGAACATAATCCACATCCTGCTGTCAGTTCATTTAGAGCAGTGTTTTTCAAACTAGATTTCCAACCTCTGGTGGGTTTAGAAATCCACATGGTCACAATGTACTTTATCTTAAATACCAAAATAAAATTCAGAGGGGAGCAAGTAATGCTTTGGCAAAACTCTTGTGTAAATTATTTGCATGTCTGTATTGGTCACAATATATATAAAATGCATTTATTACTGAGTCGCAATCAAAAGAACTGAAAGCCACTGAATTAAAGAGATGGATTTATTGATAGATAAAATTGACACCTATTTCAAACACCCAAACCCTTTCCTTATATATATTAGGAAAATTTAAAGAAAAAAATATCAAAGCAATACAGCCAACTAGATCCCCAACTTACAAACAAGTACCAAATGTTTGTTTAATGGGTCCTTAGAGGTTTTCTCAAAGAAACTATCATAAAGAAATTAGGCTGCCAATTAGTTCACAAAAGCCAATTTAAACAATATGGCTGAACTACAGTACTAAGGTTATTAAATTTCTCTACTTCATTTATTTGTATCACAGCTTCAGTGTATCTCATGCACACTCTCCCCACACCCACACCTTGGTCCCGGTACCACGCAACTCCTCGCAGTGCAGGCAGACACCCGCCGTGGGAAGGGCCGCCCCACGTTGTGCTTCAGCTTTCGGAGGAGTAAAGCCCAGAAGCTCTGACAGCCTTAGCAGCTGAGGTAGAATGCAGGGCTCTCCAGAACATCTCCCACGAGGCCCGAGTCTGTTTCCCTCCCACCAGCATCCTGACTCTGGTACAAGGTCAAACATGAGAAGGACTTTTTTGCTCACCAACGGTCTCTTTTTTCTATTTTAATCCATCTTTAGGAGAGACTGCCTACTAAAAAGGATCAATGGTTCACTCCACCTTTTTTTCAGAACCCCCAAACTACTATAAAATACAGGGCTATGGCAGAAGTAAGGCCTACTTGAGTGTGGTTGGTAGGGTAATATGTGTGTAATAGCTTTAGTTTTAATTTGAACATTTAGGCTAAAATGTCATATGGTGTTTGAGTGTGAATATTGTTATGTTAAAGAATTACATGCTTAGGATTTTGCCATTAGAAAGAGGCATTATTTGTGCCAGACCCCTGTATTATGTCTCACTGGTTTTAACGTTGATGATTTCAATATTGCTATGTACTATACATAATGTTGACAAAATCAATACCTGTTTTAAATCATGTGACTGCTTTTCTCATAACTGTTTAGATACAAAAATTCTATTACCAACAAGTTTCTCTGCACCAGGAGACACACACCAGTGCCTAAAGAAGCAGCACAGCCTGAACAAGCTCAGGAATTCAGGGTTAAGTAGAATGCCATTCCTAACTCACCTCCCTGTTCTCATCAGTGTCATCATGTGAGGGAGACTGTGCGGAGCTACGCTGAAGAGCACACATTAAGGGAACACCCAGTGAGAGCTGCTCTACGAAGCCCCTCAAATGCAGTACAAATACATCAACACCCAGCCTCACTCACATGGGCAGAACACAAACTGCCATTCCTGGCAGGATTTCCCCCACAGGGAACAAATGTTAACCAAGGTGCTATGGTCTCAGATGAGACCTACCACTGCACGGTGGGAACCAGGTTTTTAGTATTGGCTGCCTGGTCCCAGTATTCACTGGTCTCACTCCTGCAGCCCCAGGAAAGGAACAGCAGCTGCGGGAAGAGTTCTCTGTGCAGCCTAAGCTTGAGGGAAAGGTACTACCACTGGCTCATTCTTCGATCATCACCTGAGCACATGTCCTCTGGTTTGGCTATCAGATAGGGACAGCAGTTCCAATCCACATCGCAGGCGCCAGGGCCCACACCAAGACCCACATGTCTCAGGGAAAACTGGCCGCAACAGCACGCCTCTGTGGCCAGCAGCCTGGGGCCCTCCAGATGGCAGACATGCTGATTCATAGCTAACACGTGCCCAGTTTTCTGATTCTACCTTTTGCTTTTGTGTACCAGGCAGGACAAGTTCAGGAGTTTATTTTGGGAAAGGGTTAGAAATCATTTCAGCATATACCTTTCAGGTTCTGCCAGGCAACCTTTTATTACATCAGAAAAGCAACACTAGGCACTAGATCTTGCAAAATAAGTTCTGACGAACTCTAAACTTTCTGAAATTAAAAATGCATAACCACTGTAAAGTTTTTAATGAACAAAAATGTTAAATACAAACTTTCATATGCAAAATAGATTATCGTATAACCGGTAACCTCAGAGCCAAGTACTAAATTTTCTTCCACAAATTTCAGTAGGGATGGAGTGGGGGAGTTTAAATCCTAATGAGTACAAAACTTAATTTTAGCTTTCTATATAGAAAAAAAAAACTTTGAGGAAAAATAGCTTTAAATTGAATAGCATCTTTTGAAATAAACAGCTCAGGCCAGCCCTTACAATTCTGAAGTTTATATTCTACCAGGTCTGGGGTGAAAATGAAAATTTAGGGTTTACGGTTATTTTGAATCCAGTTTCGAGAGCAATTGCCTCATTTCCAGAAAGGAAAGTCTCTGTAGGATGACCATGGCACTCTTCTGAAGATGCCTGGATAGCCAGAGTGCCTTGGCCACAGTTCTGCTTTTCCATGACCCAGTGCCAATGCCGAGTCTCAGGCTTCCTCTGAAAAGCAATCAGAGCCCTACACTGTGGCGCTTCTCCTGGCATTTTCAAGCCTCAAAAAAAGACCTTGAGCTCCAAGTTGGCAGTTACTGCTCCAGCACTAGAGAAGTTAATTAACACTTCCTTCCTTCCTTCCTTCCTCCCCCCACTGAGTTCCTGCCCCATCTTCAGCAGGCAGTGGAAGCTTGATTAACATTCTTTTCAGAAATAAATAGTTCAAACAAGTAATTCCAAGTTAACTGTAAAAGAGCAGCAGAAACAGCCACTGCCCATTACATTTGCAAATGAGTCAGAGAATGAATACACGTGAACAAACACAGAAAAAAACAACTCATAGAATAAATCTGCATTTTACACATTCACAGGGGGGGAAATCTTTAAAATAAAGTATTAATTAGCGTTTGTTCCTATGTGGGTTGAAGAGTCCAGGGCTCTGAGCAAGCACATCCTTTCAAACACGGTTGCAGGCAGCCCTCCGCATACCAAGTCAGGGCACTAGGGTGCAGGGCCTTCATGCTTGTCAGTACCTGTGACAGAACAGGTGATGCAGGGACTTTTTAACCCACAATGCATGAGGTATATGAAAATGTCCCTCCGAGAAAGAACCACCAGCAGCTAAGGGACTGGGTAGGGCGTTCTCACAGCAACTGCTGATGAAGGATTTCCCACACCATCTTCTTCCGGAAGAGAGGCATCTGGTGCTGCAAAGAATCCACCGACAACACAGACGTTACATGTCCTTGCACAGCCTCGACAGCCTCTAGGTGCAGTCATGTGAACACAGCAGGGTGCTTATATCCCTTAGGAAAGCCTTGACTGTTTATATCCTGGCACAGACTTATGAAGCCATAAGAAAGGTTTATAATGTCTATTAGAGTGTACATTAGTATTTTTACATATTAAGGAAAATCAAAGCACGGTACAGAATTATACAAGAGTCCAACAGCCTGATAACAAAAATGCACACTGAAAATGGGAATATCCAAGTGGCAGCACAATAGACATCTTTTCTACTTAAATTAGCATATTCTGCTTTTTAATAAAAGCATGAATTCTATTTAAGTAAAGAAAAAAAAACCCAAATCCACAGATTTCTTTCTGCTCTACAAAATGTGGTAGGTACATCGCCAGTACTGTTCAAGTAGCAACTTCTCCCCTTCAAATCTCATGTCATCAGGTTCAGAAAATAACTGGCTGTTATTTAGAAGTACCAAAGAATGAGATGCTGTGCTTAATGTTTTTCTGTTTGAACTGATAATCACTATGGGGCAATTTCAAACAAGCAAATATACATGATAAATCCAAATTCACCTATAATTCAACTAGTCCTCTTTTTGATGAAACCAGAAGTTTGTGCCTTTAAAGTTGTCATGGTGTGTCATTATAAACAGCTGGCCACACCTTCCTAACAAAGTGATTTCCTACTGGAGGGACCTAGAAAGTCTTCATACGTGGATTTATGCATTTTAAATAGCTCAAAACATGTAGTAAAAAACTGTACATTTATTCTGAAACTAACCAATAAGTGTCCTTACTTTAGACTGGAATTGTATTCATTCAGCATGGGAGGGTTATTTCACATTGACCTGAAGCTCGGAAGAGGGTTGGTTACCAGTCCTACTATTTATTCAGTAAGTACAGTTTGGTAGACATCATATCAAAATGAGGTCTCTTTAAGAAAAATATTTCTAAAGGGGATCGTCCTCAGTTGTAAAACCATTGAGAATACACTATTACAAACATAAATTCTCACGAGTTCCCAACATATTTTAATGTCCACTCAAATACAGAGCAATGGAAAACCAGTAATAACTAGAACAAATGGGAAAAGCAGTATTCATAGTTACATCTAACACTTGTGGCTTAGGTTCTCACAAAGCCTTACTTTCCCTTGCTGTTACATATTCTGGCATGCCTCCTTCAGAAAAAATATCAGTAACACTCAGACAAACCAATGCACACTGGAGCGGAAAGAGAGCAAACTGACCCAATAGCTACCAGTGATTAGGGAGGACAAACCTGAGAGCAGATGCAGTGACGAGCCCTCCCCCTGTGAGAGTGGGGCTACAGCCGAGGCTTACGGCAGCTGCAGGAGCACAGCTACCGGTATTAGCATCTTCACATGTGCCAGGCCCTGTAACGTGCTCTAAGTTTATCTTGTTTAGTAACAAGTGGATGAGGAAGGGTCTTCACTCACCTGAGTAAATGTGATAGGTTTGTCCCTAGACATATAATCTGCATATTTACAAGTAAACATTCCACAATCACTCCCATTCAACTGTTGAGGAATCTCCTGAAATCACAAAAACAAGATGAGAAGTAAAGGTAAAATTTCAACAAATGCAAACTACTCTGACTTTTTCTAAATATTACTGTGGATCAACAATATTATAAAGTAAATGTTAAGTGTGGCATTACACAATTAGTCTTTATGTGGCACTAAAAATCCTAACTATGGCAGAGTGTGTGGCCCCACAGAAAATGTTTCTCAGAAGGAAAGACAAGAGTTTGACTTCCCTTCCCTGGCCAGGACAAGACTATTGCTTTGGACACCCAGAAAGCTTCTTGATAGGCTTCACCTAATTAGGATATCTTGCCTTGATTGCTCAGTTCTGTCCTGAGGCAAAAGCGCACCAAAAGCCAAAGCCAGTGGATTCCAAATACACACATTCCCCAGGCCAAACAAAGGCACTAATCTGCACCAGCCCCTCACACACTTTGGCTCAGTTCCCTTGAGCACAAGGTGATGAGAATATAAGATAGTTTGATTCCATGGCTTGGAAAACATACTCAATTTTTATTCAAAAGAAATTCAGATGATTTTTATAAAAAATTGTTTAAACATGCACACTACCCATACATATGGCAGGGCCTCTTTGTCCAAGCCCAGCATCTCTTACATGTGGGAGAGAAGTATAGACCCCAATATACAAATAAAGAGAATTTGGGGTTTTTTTCCCCTTAAACATTTTATTTATTTATTTATTTACTTACTTACTTACTTACTTTTAGGGAGGGGGAAGGGAGAAACAGAGGAAGAGAAACATCAAGGTGTGAGAGGAACATCGATTGGCAGCCTCTGGCCACACCTCTGACCAGGACCTGGCCCACAACCCGGGGGCCTGTGCCTGGACCACGACTGGCGCAAGGAACCTTCCGGTCCACAGACTGGTGCTCAATCTACTGAGCCACCAGCAAGGGCTATTTTCCTTCTTACATTTCCTAGAACACAGTATTAATCCTAACAAACTCTTCTTCTTAAAAAAAAAAAACAAAAAAAAAAGCAAACAAAAAACTTTTACTTATTTAGAGAAAAAAGAAGAGAGTGGAGTGAGGGGAAGAGAAACAGCAATGGGCTGCCTCTTGCACTCCACAGTCCAGGCATGTGCCCTGACTGGGAATCAAACCAGAAACCCTTTGTGTTGCAGGATGATGCCAAGCCAACTGAGCCACACCAGTCAGTGCCTAACACACTCTTCTTATATCTGTGCTCTCCTGAGCAAATTCCAAAGCTTACATGTCTAATTATTCCACTTAGAAACAAAAATGCTTTTGGCTAGATGGACACAGGTTAGGGTTAAAATTTATTCATGTAGCTTACTTTAAAAAGAAGCCATTAGGACTCAAAAATGCATGCATTTTTCAACCCTGAATGAGATTCAAATCTGGCAAGATCCAAAGCACAGTCACAAATAGCATACTGGACTCTTGAGGATGCATGGCATGGGACCCTTAAGAGTCCCATTATCTCATCCTTAAGAGATAATTACGGACTTCTCATCAAGATGGAGGTGTAGACATGCTTTGCCTCCTTGCGCAACCATAGAAAGAATTACAACCAGATCTCAAAATCAAGTAACACCCAGAACCATCAGAAAAATCAAACTGTACAAAGTCTAATGGAAAAGGATTTAAAGAAGCCACATTCATCTGGATGGGTAGAAGGGGCAGAGTTTGTGGAGAAGGGGCAGAAAGGTCGTGGGGCACAGAGAGGTGGTGGCAGGGACAGCACAGGCAGCATGGACGGCCTCACATTCACATGCGGTGGATAAAAGTCAAGAGGGATACCTTGGGAGTGAGCAATCCCCACCCCAGGCCAGACCACACAGCCCAGGGTTCCAGCACTGGAAAGACAAACCCTCATTAGGAAGACAAACCCCCATTACCTCTGGCTGTAAAAACCAGTGAGGCTTGGGGAGGCAAAAACAAACAAACAAACAAAAAAAACCCTGCTGATTTTTGCCACTTAAAGGGCCCACACAGACTCAGAACATACCCTACTCAAACAACACGGGAGCAGCTGGAAAGGCACCAATCATATACCAGAGGTGGGTGAGGTGACTGGAAGCCAGATGAGTGCTAAGCAGGCCTCCAGAAGCCAGGCAGCAGCAATGTCCCCTCTCTGGGTCACACACAGAGCCACTAAGCAGTGAAGTGTGTTGCCCCACCCTGGCAAATACCTAAGGCTCCACCCCACACAATTTACAGGTGCCTTTTCTACATAGGCCACACTACTAAGACAGGGAGTAAGAGCATCTCTACCTAATACACGGAAACTAACACTGGGAGGCTGCCAAATTGAGGAGGCTAAGAAATACGGCCATGGGAACAGAACAAAACCCCAGAAAAAGAACTAAATCAAATGGAGGTACGTAATCTATCAGAGTTCAAAACACTGGTGGGTAAGAATGAACTCATTGAGTATGGCAACAAAATAAAGGAAAAACGATGGTTACAGTAAGCAAAATAAAGGAAAATATATAGGGAACCAACAGTGAAAGGAGAAAGCCGAGACTGAAATCAATGATTTGGAATAAAAGGAAGAAATAAACATTCAACCAAGAAGAGAATGAAGAAACAAGAATTCAAACAAATGAAGAGAGGTTTAGGAACCTCTGGGACAACTTTAAATGTTCCAATTATCTCATTCATAGGGATGACAGAAGGAGAAGAGGAAGAGCAAGAAATTGAAAACTTACTTGAACAAATAATGAAGAACTTCCCCAATCTGGCAAAGGAAATAGACTTCCAGGAAGTCCAGGAACCTCACAGAGTCCCAAAAAAGTTGGACCCAAGGAAGCACACACCAAGGCACATCATAATTACATTACCCAAGATTAAAGACAAGGAGAGAATCTTAAAAGCAGCAAGAGGAAAGAAGATAGTTACCTACAAAGGAGTTCCCATGAGACTAGCAGCTGATTTCTCAAAAGAAACTTTGTAGGCAAGAAGGGGCTAGCAATAAGTACTCAAAATGATGAAAAGCAAGGACATACAACCAAGATTACTCTACCAAGCAAAGCTATCATTTAGAATGGGAGGGCAGATAAAGTGCTCCACAGACAACAAAAAACGAGAGGAGTTCCTCATCACAAAGCCATTATTACATGAAATGTTAAAGGGACTTAAGAAAAAGATAAAAACTATGAACATTAAAATGACAACAAGCCCTGGCTGGTGTAGCTCAGTGGATTGAGCATGGGCCTGCGAACCAAAAGATTGCGGTTCGATTCCCAGTCAGGGCGCATGCCTGGGTTGCAGGCCAGTTCCCAGCAGGGGCCAGTTCCCAGCAGGGGATGCATGAGAAACAACCATACATTGATATTTCTCTCCCTCTCTCCTTCCCTTCCCTTCTAAAGATAAATAAATAAAAATAAAAAAATAAAATGACAACAAACTCTCAACTAGGAACAACAACTGAACCTAAAAAACAAAAACAAACTAAGCTAACTAAACAAACAACTAGAACAGGAACAGAATCATAGATATGAAGATCATTTGGAATATTATCAACGGGGAGGGGGAAGAAAAAGAATGGGGGGAAATGTGCAGGGATTAAGTACATATTGGTAGGCACAAAACAGACAGGGCCATGTTAAGAATAGTATAGGAAATGGAGGAGCCAAAGAACTTACATCCATGACCCACAGATATGGACTAAGGCACTGGGATGCTGGAAGAAGGGGGGACTGGGAAAAAATTGGGATAACTGTAATAGCATAATCAATAAACTATACTTTCAAAAAAAAGAGCTAAATATACAATATTTCCAAGTAAGTTTCTTTTCTCCTACCCTGTGTCCTCTCTAGATAAATTTTGAACAAGAATTTCAAATTTTCATTAGGGCCAACCAAGAAAAGTACTGAACTTAATGAGTTATCATTTATAATTTAATCAATAAGATAAAGGCTAATAAACAAACATCTTGGTTAAAAGATTGAGAAGTGGATCATTCTTAAGATGTACATACAATACACTTCAGGAGAATGCATGCCTAAGGATGAGTGTGCGGGAGAGGGGGGGAGGGAGGAAGGTCAGTCTACGTAGTGTTCCCCTGACAGTGAATGCAACAAAGTATCTGAAACACAGATGATCATCACGTACATGTGGCTTCATGCTGTAGTCCGTCCACTCTGAAAGATTCAGATCAATATTTCTTTTGGTCTTACTTTCATCCTGTAAATACTGACTGAAAAAAAACAAACAAAGAATATATTGATGAACCCTCGTGAAGACATTATAATTACAAGAACTCTATGATGTTTAACATATGCCATTCTTAAATTCATCTCCATAAGTTTTGGTTTTAAATTTAAATTTTCAGTATGCTTATAGAAATTACACATGCTTTTTTAAAAAAAAATTAAAACATATAAATGTAAAATGCAAAGGATCTCATAATAATCACCCCAGAATTAATTAACAGTAATTATTTGCTGTGTATTCCTATTTCTCTACTCCACTCCTGTATATACAATTTAAAAACACATTTTGTTCTATAAAAAAAAAAAAAAGGACTTCATTTACAACTTTTTTCTCACTTAAAAACACATTATCCTTAATGTTATTTTCTCATGTAATGGAGGAACTACATTTTTCTTGGGGTGGAGATGAGGATGAGGTAAGGTAGGTAATGGTAAAGTACAAAGTTCAGAAAAGGTGGAATGGGGTTATCAGAAAAGGTTGTATCTGAAGCCACACCCAAAGTTCAGATACAACCACAGGAGTTAAACCCTTCATACTCTGAAAAATATTCAAGCCCTGCCTGGTGTGGCTCAGTGTGTTGGGCACCATCCAGCAGACCGAAAGGCCACCAGTTCGGTTCCCAGTCAGGGCACACACCAGGGTGCGGGCCAGGTCCCCAGTTAGGAGTGTGTGAGAGTCAGATAGATGTTTGTCTTGCACATCGATGTTTCTCTCCTTCTCCCTCTCCTCTCTCTAAAAATGAGTAAATAAAACCTTTTTAAAAATTCAAAAGTATAAATGTCATAAAAGTATAGGTTTTCAATATCCTGTTATAAGCACCATACCAGTCTTGCTGCATTACTCCCATGAGAATGTTTCTGTGCACGTGATAATACATGTATATGTGCACACAGGTGTGTACATCACTGCTTTATAAATGATCTGGTGTATTTTAGGATTTTAAAAAATTTATAATTTCTACTCAAGATAAACCATAAATGAAAATAATTAAAACACTGAAAAAGAATTGAACTAATTAGTAACTTTTCATATCATTCATTTAACAAGTTCCTTACTGAAGTATCCGTATTAGAATCATCTTAGTATGCTTACTAAAATGAAAAACAGTAACCTGCATTGGCTTCCAGTGAACAGCAGAGGTTCAAAACAGACTTGTCTTGTGGATTAGCTTCCTCACTGTGACATTCATGTCACCACTTTACACAGCTATGATTTGAAGCCAGGTTTCTACCAATTACTATTTGAAATAGTTGCCTACAAACCATATACTCTAACTTAAAAATTACCTCTGGGTTCTAAGAGATGAACTCAACCATCAAGGAAAGCACAGAGACATGAGTGGGTTTAAGAATTCAGAGAAATTGCCCTGGCTGGTGTAGCTCAGTGGACTGAGCACAGGCTGCAAGCCACAGGGTCACCAGTTCAATTCCCAGTCGGGGCACATGCCTGGGTTGTGGGCCAGGTCCCCAATGGAGGCCACCTGAGAAGCAACCACACATTGCTATTTCTCTCCCTCTGCTTCTCCCTCCTTTCCTATCTCTCTAAAAGTAAAATATTTAAAAAAAAAAAAAGAAAAAGAGAATTCAGAAAAATAATACTTATCAGCTAACAGTTCTAGAACGTTCAGAATAATGTGTCAATCCCAAATAAATCTAAATAAGACTTATTTTACAGGATTCTAATAAGACATATTTTACCTTATAACATATAACAAACTTGCTTTCAATGATGCTACTAAACAAGAAGACTTCTCAGAGAAGATCAGCTATTAGGTTGTTTTTAAACAAAAAGGTGGACGCAAGTCAAGTCCCGAACAACTGGGAAGACCGTCCTCACTACGTTTTAGACCACCCGCCACGATTAGAAGACCAATTGCCTAACAAGCGTATAACGTGGTAACAGTGAAGTCTTTTAACCTTTACTTACAGGAGAATCTCACAGATCCTGCTGCCCTTTTGTCCCATGGAATCCAGATATTTAAGACACTTTTTTCTTAGGTCTATCACCTACAATGGAAAAATGCAACATCCAGAAACAACCACAACAGGAGCGAGATTTTATATCTAAAAAGGAAAAGCATCTTTAAAATCATCAATATGTGTATCAACATGAATGGATTTCTAAGACAGTTTTTACAAAATATCACAGATGGTATGACCCTCATTTCTATAAAATGTATACCTGTATACTCTCATTCCTACATAAAGGTTTAGAAACTCAATCCCCAAAACATCAGGGGTCCTTATCAGAGTCACAAGACTTCTTTTTGCTTTTTTCTTTATACTTTTACTTCTCTACAAGTAACCTATACTAAAAAAAACTTATAAATAACACATGGGTTGTTTATAAGTTTACTAAAACTCTTTCCTGTTAAAAATGAAAGGTACTCAGCTACAGCAACTCTCTTCTATCTTTCTAAGTTGTTCGACTCAAGAACTAAGGGACCCTGTGGAGTATGCCTTTAACATTTAGTATGGCCTTTCAATAGACAGAATAGGGTAGCCTTTGTTTAAGAAAATGGTCATTATCCAGGCTCGGCTGGTGTAGCTCAGTGGATTGAGTGCCAGATTACAAACAAAAGGGTCGCTGGTTCAATTCCCAGTCAGGGCACATGCTTGGGTTGCAGGCCAGGTCCCAGTAGGGAGTATGCAAGAGGCAACCACACATTGATGCTTCTCTCCCCCTCTTCCCGCCTTCCCCTCTCTCAAAAAAAAATAAATTAAATAAATAAATAAATAAATAAATAAATAAATAAATAAATAAATAAAATCTTAAGAAAAGAAAGACAGAAGATGGTCATTATCCAAACTCCAAAAATTAACCCTCTCAACTCACCACCAGGCTCCAATGTACCTTCCGATGAATGGGCACCAGGATTAGTTCCTGTTCAAAGAGATTGACCCCTTTGGTCCATCTTTTCACTGCTTGGTAACCTCCAGACTTTAATTTGGGATAGAAGAAAGTACTGAATGCATGAAGTAGTGGATAGCCTTGTTTTCTATTTCTTTCTACCAGAAGATTCATGTAAAAATTAATGACCTGTAATACCAAGAGAGTAAACATTAGATAATATGGCAAGTATATTATCAAAAATGAATTTTTAACCTAACTGAATTAGGATTCATTAGACGATAAGAAGTCGAAAGAAGGGAAGGTACTAGAGAAGGGGATAAACTCTATGGTGGAAGATGGAAAATAAAAATGATCAGTACAAAATGGGAAGAATTAAGAGGAATGAAATTGTCCTTCTGAAGCACATTAATAAGAGTCAAGAGAAGGAACTGAAGGAGGAAGTCTGCAATAATAAAAAGGTGTATGTAACCACCCCCCCCACAAAAAAAATGCAGAAACAGTAATTGGAAGTATTTTTTACTGTATATAAATTATACGCCCTGACTGGTATAGCTCAGTGGACTGAGCATGGGCCCGTGAACCAGAGGATCGCAGTTCAATTCCCAGTCGGCACATGCCTGAGCTGCAGGCCTGTTCCCAGCAGGGAATGCATGAGACGCAACCATACATTGATATTTCTCTCCCTCTCTCCTTCCCTTCCCCTCTAAAGATAAATAAATAAAATCTATAAATAAATAAGTAAAAACTCAATTGAAAAATGTTAATTGGAAGGAGATATACCAAAACATTAATATTTTATTAATTCAATGGTAGCACTTTTGAACAATTCTTTAACTTTTCCTGTTCTCTCTAAATTTTATATAATAGATATATTATACTTACATACTAGTTTTATAAGAATGTGTCTATACGCTGCTAGTCATGGGGGGCAGCAGGAAGGAAGGCAAAGAAAGAAAATGCAGCGACTGAGCAGCTGAATAAAGGACCAACTGGAAAACTGGCAAGAACTAAGAAGCTAGCTTTAGTTAAATATGTAAGGATATAAGATGACAATTAGGCCAATTTTTGCAATTATCACTCAAATGAAATAAACAAAAAGACGTTTAGTGTATATATATGTATATAGTGATCAATATATCCCTTTATTTTAAATAATAAAATGGCTTCTGGGCCCTGGCTGGCACAGCTCAGCGGATTGAGCACGGGCCTGCGAACCAAAGGATCGTGGTTCGATTCCCAGTCAGGGCACATGCCTGGGTTGCAGGCCAGTTCCTGGCAGGGGACTCATGAGAGGCAACCCACACATTGATGTTTCTCTCCTTCTCTCCTTCCCTTCCTCTCTAAAAATAAATAAATAAAATCTTAAAAAAAAAAACAAACCCACACAAACCAATTTTCTCAAAAAAAAAAAAAAAAAAAAAGGCTTCTGTAAGAATTCATCTAAAACGAATTGCTGCTTTCTTCTACCTACCACCTGCATCCAGGGTTTATAAAAATGTCCCTGAGGCCCTGGATGGTGTAGCTCAGTGAATTAAGCACAGGCCTGCGAACCAGACAATCGCGGTTCGATTCCCAGTCAGGGCACATGCCTGGGTTGTAGTCCAGTTTCCTGCAGGCCAGTCCCCAGCAGGGGACACACGAAAGGCAACCATACATTGATGTTTCTCTCCCACTCTCCTTCCCTTCCCCTCTAAAGATAAATAAAATATTTTTAAAAAAATACTAAGAAAAAAAATGTCCCTGAAGATCAGTAAATGAAGTGGTGGATAAAATGAAGCACAATTGCAACGGAGGGAAACAATGCTAATTAAAGGCAGCAAATAATCAGTCTTTCTAAAGTTCAAGATGTTTTCTTTTTAGGTATAACAAAAGCCACTTTACCAACCCTTACGGTTGAATATCGCTTTGGTTATGGATGATGACACGGGGTGGGTGGAGACAACTTACTTCATCATTGAGCCAGTGATAGTTCCTCAGGGTCTGGATGTCTCCTCGAGTGATTCGCAATTTGAAAGCACTACTGAGGATCTCATCCTGTGGGCCATGACCTAATGCATTACTGATTTCCTTTTCCATGTCCTGAATTAGAAAGTCCAGAGGTTGCTACTTTAATATAAAACCACTATCAGGCACTAAAAGTCTGAAACTGTAAAAAGCCAATTTCACCTCTTTAACACCTGACCCTTGAGAAAAATACATTATCAAAGATCTACTGAATTAAAGTATGAAAAGACTTAAACTTAGACTACAAAGCAGTCTAAGGGTTATAAAAAACGCTAAATTATTTCTGAAAATAATTTGGTAATATTACTTATATTTAAATTTATATATACCAACTGAGATTATACCAATATTATAATTGGTATAATCTCAATTTCCTGCTACCATTTACTGATCACTATGGTACCAGATGCCTGAAGCACATCACTGATCCCTGATTGTGGGGAAAATATCACCATTTTATAGAAGACATAACACTCAGAGAATTCAGGTTACATGCTCAAAGTCATAAAATTGTTACAAGGCAGAGCCAAGACTTGAACCTAGGAGTGGCTAACTTATTAGCCTTTGCTCCTTTCAAAATACTTCATCAAAAGTATCTTCATACTTTCCTTCCAAACTTTTCATTGAACACATCAAAGTAATAAATGACACTGAAGAGGTCATACTGTCCATTTTGAACACAAGGAAAGTAAGCCAACAAGCAATTAACTGGGAAACTAGGCAGCAGCCTAAAGACTGAGTCCTTACTGAATAGACAGCTTCATCTACAGAATTATGCAGATAAATGCACATTTAAGCTGCCAGACTGAACCTATAAACCCAACAGAAATTATTTCAGCCAAATTTTAATATTGCTTCCTCCCAACTGCACATAATTTTGTGATTTTATGGCTTTCTCTCTCCACCTGCATGCCCAATGTATAACAAGTGCTCAAGAGATATTTGCTGGCCTTGGCCAGGTAGCTCAGTTGGTTAGAGCTTTCTTCCAATATGCCAGGGTTGTGGGTTTTATCTCCAGTCAGGGCACCTATAAGAATCAAAATGTGGCCCTGGCTGGTGTAGCTCAGTGGATTGAGCACGGGCCTGGGAACCAAGCAACCATGGTTCGATTCCCAGTCAAGGCACATGCCTGGGTTGGAGGCCAGTTCCCAGCAGGGGACTCACGAGAGGCAACCATACATTGATATTTCTCTCCCTCTCTCCTTCCTTTCCCCTCTAAAGATAAATAAAATCTTAAAAAAAAAAAAAAAAAGAATCAAAATGCATAAATAAGTGGAACTGATGTCCCTCTCTCTCTCAAATCAACAAACAAACAAACAAACAAAAGACAGCCCTGACTGATGTGGCTCAGTCGATTGAGCATCATCATAAAGTGAAAGGTCTGATTTCTGGTCAGGGAACATGCCTGGGCTGCAGCCAAGTCCCTGGATGGAGAATGTGCAAGAGGCCACTGCTTTTTCTCCCTCCCTTCCCCTCTCTCTAAAAATAAGTAAATAAAAACTTTTTAAAAAAGAGAGAGATTCACTGAACAGGGCTGACTACCACCTACTAAGATAACACTGAAGAAGGAGCCAAGATGTGGGCTAACCTGTAAAATGAGTTTTCAACTACCTTCGTTTTCTTGTTTTCTATACGTTTTTACTATTTTCAAATGCAATAATCAACAGAAGGGAAATTTCAGTAAACCATAATCACTTAAAACTGCAATGAATTCATTCCTCATACCTAACCCATCCTATTTAACCAAAATATTTTAAGGTTAGAAAAATACAAAGAATTCATTATATTCCAAGATATGTGACAATTGTGTCTAACCATGTTTGTTAAACAGTAGTAATCTGATCCCTCAGACCCCTTTCACAGATCATAATGATCAATGTAGCTGGTGAATGGAAAGCCCTTAGGACTGAGGTCTTTCCTACATTTATCCTTAGCCTGGAGAGACTCTTCAAAACTGCCGCTCAAGTATTGAATAACTAAGGTTATTTAAAAACATGTCTCTTATTCTGATCAACATAAGAAATAATACCTCTGTAAGTTCAAGAAGATCATCCATTCTTTTATCCCTCTCTTTGCCTGAGCAATTTTTTTCTTTTGTCTCAAGTATTGACATTTTCCTCCTGAATAAGCCATTGCTTCCACTGCCCAGGCGGAGTCGGGCTGACACTTCTTCAGACAGGTCAGGTTCCAGCTGGTGTCCTCTCCTCTGATCAAAAAAGTTTCCACATTCTATTGGCTTGTTTAATGACTGTACATATAAACATATACAACACATGAAATATAAAAATGGCATCCTCTTGAAAGAATAGAGAATTAGCAAATCCTCAAATGAGTAGATTTAGCATATTTGTTCCCACAAGAGGGACCAAAAAGTGTTCAAGCATTAAGACTCACAGAACACCTCAATTACAAAGCCATAAAACACAACACACATCATTTTCCCTGAAGGTAAAACAAGCAAATTCAGTTCTCTTATGTGAATTTTTAAAAATTTAGTTAAAAAAATTAAGTTTTAAAACAGCAAAAAATGTAACCCAAATCCCATCACTCAAAATAAACCACTGCTATCCTTATACTATGTAAAGTTGTTCTATTTCATCTTTTTTTTTAAATGTAATTATAAATTATAGAACAATGTACAAAATATAAATTAAAAAATTAACACCAATGTAATCACCATTTAGGTCAACAAGTAGAATTCTGAAAGCAACCCAGAAACTTTGATAAGATCCTTCCTTATCATGACCCTATGTAACCCTTAATATTGAATTAATCTGGTAGGCAAACTATTTTAAAATTAGGAAATTTATTTAGAAATAGAGCTTTGGACTAGAACTACACTCTCCACACACTTAGCCAATACACTTCACTCTAGCTAACTGTCAAATACACCAGTCTTAGGAAACCAGTAGCTGCTGCCCCTTCCTATGGTCGCAGACAGTAAAGCCTTCAGATTCAGCAGAGATAGAAGCAGGATGTAGTCTTCGGCCAGGTAACACATTATTACAGCCATTACCACTCCCACCCCCACCCCACCGATCCTCTCTCAAGACTCAGTCCCCCCCACTTCTTTCAGTCTTTGTTCCACAACTAATAAATGATCATTAAACACAAAAGGCTTCACTCTGAATCACTGGAAATGGGGAAATTAAAGAAGGTAATGTTCTAAGACTTAAGACTTAAGACCATGGCTTAAGACTATAACTTACCCTTAAGACTAATTGTTATGAAGAAATCTAATTGGAGAAGAGAAATTCGATCAAATGGATATAGTACACTTAACACAAAGTCCCCCACACTTTGGTATTTGTATGTAGCTAAGATGTGAAATAATCTAAAGCTTCAAGTTTACATTTAATTTAGCAATGTATTCTTTCAGATATGCCATCATTGTTAAAGATGTTGGTATTGCTATGAAAATCATTGGAGCGTTTTTTTAAAAAGATTTTATTTACTTTTTTTAGAAAGAGGGGAAGGGAGGGAGAAAGAGAGGGAAAGAAACATTGGTCAGTTGCTCCTCACATGCCAGCAATCAGGGACCTAGCTCAAAACCCAGGCATGTGCCCTAACAGGTGACCTTTTGGTAGGTGGGACAAGGCCCAACCCACTAAACTACACTGGTCACAGCTAGGACACTTCTTACTCTAATAGTTAATAGAAAAAAGCCCAATTAAGCAAAAAAATTGATACTACTTTCAAGTAAATCTAAAATCCTGACTCTAAAAAATTAGGTCTTGAGCATATATCTCTCCTAGAGATGTATGGTCTTCAAATACTCTCTACAAGAAGCCAGGTAGCACACATAAGGGCAGAGATGGAGGCAGACTGATCTCCCCTACAAACAAAGGTGGCTGTAATGCAGACAGAAATCCAGCAACTCAGAAGGAAGCTAAAGTTGTTTCTCTTCAATACCTGCTTTTTCAAAGAAAACAGAATTAGGAATCAAATTAACATGTCATCTTTCTTATTTTTCCTGGGCACCAAAGTATTATTAATAAGTCAAGTGAAAGAGTAAAAAGATATAAAATTTAGCTAGTGTTTCTACTTACACCTTCATTTTCAAGTCTGATTCCAACGGTCTTCTCTGTATCCAAATATTTCCCCTTTGAATACCTGAGGGAATAACAATAGAAATTACTGACTGGATGATTTTAACCTGGTACATGTTAGACTAGTTGTAGAAATAACATATAATTTGGAAACAAAAATTGTCTTGAGTTTACTATAGTCCTCTAAACCAAGGGTCAGCAAAATTTTTCTAAAAAGGATCAGATAGTCTGCATGTCCTGTGGTGTGTTAAATCTTTTCAACTTCCATTAGAGTTTAAAAGCAGCCATGAATAGTAAGCAAATGAATGGGCAAGGCTGTGTTCCGATAAAACTTTAGTTAAAAAACAGGCAGGGGGACCAAATTTGGCCCACCGGCTGTACTTTACCAACCAACCTATCCTATAACTGAACGATTATCCTAAAGCATGCAGAACTGCCTTCACTGTTCACATGCCAGGTGTCCACCACACCCAAACTTTTCTAAATGGCACCTGAATCTCCCAACCCCCTGGGAGATGCCAACTCCCAATGCCTAGGAGTCCAAGGCATCTCCCAAGTGACAGTGGGCATCTGACACAAAAGCTACCTATGTTCCCATGTATGCTGACCAGCTCTCAGAGTTGAGGACAGTTCACAATTCCTTAGACGTGGTTACTCATAAATACAGCTTATAAAGTAAGAAAATAATGTCAAATGAAAACTTAGAATAAACTGAACCAAGTACCTCTTTTCACTCCTTATTGAACATAGAGGCCCCCTTGTTTCAACAACTCTATCTGTGAGGACAGCAAAGAAAAAATAAAGTCTCTTCTTTATTAATCAATATATAGATACAATTTCAACTTAGTTTCCATAGTATTAAGACATTGACTTACACTGAAATGTTAGAATAATTTCCAAACAGTAGCCTCCTTACAAATCAAGTTGCTTAAAAATTCATAAATTGCTTTCTTCTTTAAATATAATCTTTAGTGTAAACTGACTGATATCTGCTCATTTGGTAAACTACAATTTAGTGGACAGCAAGTGGATAAATGCAAGGAAATTAATATAACAAATATAAGGAAATTAATTTTAGGCTTACAAAATAGGTACTACTACTATACATATAGAAGCTAGGAATAATAACCAAGTGGTATTCTATAAATCTGCTTCATCTTAAAATAACTTTTTACTAACCTACTGGTACTGGGTAAACTAGTCAATGCCCTGGGGTCTGATAAAGTGTTAAGGTTTGGTATACCAGCTTTCACAAGTATGTCATTTTTCAATCTCATATGCACATGAACTAAGTTCAGTATATTAAGATAGGGCTAAATTGGGAAACTCACATTGTTTTGGAACAAACTGAGTTGTTCTGACTCCATAAGTCTGATCTTCCCCCCAGCCTTTGGTCTTTAGTGTATCCATGTGACATCTTTGAGAACTTGGAAATACAAAAAGTGAAGACATTCAGATACAAAATTAAAATCTACCATAAATATTCATTACCTCTGACAAGTTTCTCCAGACAGGAGTTACTGATTATCCTGAATCATCAAATTACAAGAGGATGCACCCTGACCTGCGTGGCTCAGTTGGTTGGGCGCCAATGTTTCTCGCCCTCTTTCTCCCTCCCCCTCTCTCTAAAAATAAGTAAATAAAATCTTTAAATAAAATTATGAGAGGATGCAACACGGCAGCAACTGACATGAGGATAAAAGGAGTCTAATACTGATTCTAATATTTCAGCCAAGTTACTAACCTCCAATTCTATTTGTAAAACTGCATGTTCTCAATTCTCAGCAACACCTTAACTGAAAAATCGTGTGTGATGATAAAACTCAGGTTAAAAGACGGAAAATTTTACATAATACACTGAAATGGATCCTTAAACAACACATTAAAAGCAGGAATGCTAAAAGCAAAATAGGTTGACATAACAAAACCAGTAGTTCATGAAGTACTCTGCTGCTTTCAACGGTGGCTATTCAAAATGGAGAAAATATAGCATTCTGACTGACTTCACTAAGGTAATTAAAATTTTAAAAGTTCACAACCAAAATTAAAATTCCCAGACAAGCCCTGGCTGGTGTAGCTCAGTGGATTGAGCGTGGACCTGAGAACCAAAGGATGACAGTTTGATTCCCAGTCAAGGCACATGCCTGGGTTACAGGCCAGTTCCCAGCATGGGACGCACGAGAGGCAACCATACATTGATATTTCTCTCCCTCTCTCCTTCCCTTCCCCTCTAAAGATAAATAAATATTTAAAAAATTTTTTAAATTTCCAGACAAATACTCCTTTGTTATTTCTGCATTCAACAAGCTAGATAGTCTTGTGACTTTTTCACCTTTAATTTGCTGTTACATAATTTCTGGGACACCACTTGGTGTATTCTCACTTATTGAAATAATCAAATGTACCTCAATCCTGACCTCACATACTTTTTGTCCCCTTTTTACAAGTGACTATAAGGCCAGACATCTAATCCTTCTGTCATTCTCATCTACTTGCTCAAATCATTAGAGTAATTAACAAGGAGTCTTCTAAGAAAAACTTCTTAATGACCTGGGCAACTTTGATCTTATCTCTAGAGTGGAAGGTTTCCAAACATGCTTAAGATGCATCCATTAAGATGCCTCAGGAGCTTTGCATGCGCAGGCGGGGGGGGGGGGGGGGGGGGGGGGAAGGGGAGGGGGAAAGGGGGGGAGAAGGGAGGAGCCAACAGAAGAGGAGAGGAGGGAGAAAAAGAGGCAGAGAGACAGAGACTGCGGGACACGTGTACATTGGGGAGGTTGAAAAAACTCCCTGCCTCCTGATTTCAACCAGTGATTTCACTTTTCTGTATCAGTGTCAAGTAAGAATACACTTGAATAAAGAATTCGAAAGCTAACAAAATCGTATTTTGCATAAGCACTATTCTATATAATCCCTTAGTAGATACAATTTGTTCAGACAAATTACAAAGCTTGTTCTCTCAATGTTAACCTCTTTTTTCTCACAAAACCCTTCCAACCCACTGGTAAGAATAGGTAATATTCCTACCAATTTCCTCTCCAAAAATAAGAGAAAAGATGTCTGGCAAAGCACTGCTCTTGTCAGCTCATCTTTACCTGTGATGAGGTGACATCACAGGAGGGACAGGGTTTCCATGAACACCTTCTTTAAGTCGCTCCAATAACCTTCGGTACTTCTCTCTTTCCTCTTTTTGAACACCCTAAATAAAAGAAAGCATGTTGGATAACTTCTAGCACATTAAACATATAATTAAGTCATAAGCGAAGACTTAATAGGTCATAGGTGTGTTTCATTTCTCAGCACAGTGCCTTTTAAATTTCTTTAAACTAATTACTAACTTTATAAATTGGAAAGAAAATTCCCCAAATCTGGCCTTTTGAAAAACTGAATCAACAATCTATAGCTAGGAAGGGCTATTCCTTTAGATGGGCCACTCACTCCAGCTGGCATCACTCATTTACATTATCTCCTAGACCTTGAATGCATCTGAGTTTTTGACAGCAGAACTAGGTTAACCATAAAACAACTCAGCAGAGGTAATCCACTTGCATATCCAGAACATTCAGCTTCCAAAATGTAAATGGTCTCGCCAAAGTCACGAATGATGTTGTATGGCCAGATGCAACAGATACTTTTTCAGCCTTTGTGTTACTTGACCCCTCTCTTCAGCATCTCACCCTGGTGACTGCTCCTTGCCTTTCTGGACAATACATTCTCCTGATTTCTTACCTTCTCAGTCTCTACTACAGATGATTTCTTCTTCTGCCTGCCCAAAATGCCAATGGGTCCTACCCATTATCTCTTCTTATACTACACGCTCTACCTGAATAATATCTCAGCCTCCTTGATATATATAATACCAATAAGCAGAAGATTCAGGAATGTTTCTCTAACCCTGCCTTCCTCTCAAAACTCTATGGGCCAGGTCACTTTGCATGTTCCACATGCACTTTAAACAATGTCCAAAACTAAAGTCACTGTAACTTCCCCCTAAACACCCAGGGTATCTTGGTCACTGGCATATATTTATCCAAGATTGAAATCTGGACCTCAGGCTCTTCCTGCTAACTTCATAATTGCTCTTCCTGCTAACTTTATAATTCGCTTAAACAATAAATATGTCCTTGCTAATATTACCTTTTAATATTTTGAGAATATATCCTGTGTATACCCTTTATGTGCTTAGTCTCATCTCTTATTTCTCATCTAAGAGGCACTGAAGCCTACTTTATGACACCTCTCCTTAAACCCCCTCCATTCCTCCCTCTGCCTACCTCTGTTTGTTCAGTACAATTATTTATGTATAAGATCCCAGAGGACGGAACCATATTTTATTCAATTCAAACTACTGACCACAGGCACCCAAATGAGCATTTCTAAGATGAGCAAAACCAAGTGGCTAAGAAAACCACAGGTGATGGTCCTGGGGAATGCCAGATACAGGAATAATTCTAAATGCTCCTACTAAGTGAAGACTTCAAGAGGAAAGTGAAGAGAAGCTCGTTGATGAAGATATGCTAAGTGCCCTGAAAAGGGAAGGAAAGAGCAGACAAGTACACTATTCGACTTCTCTTACTTAGTCAGTTATTAGAGCGTAAAAAGAAACAAGTTAGAACAATTAAGGGACCCAAACAGAACTTATAATTTTATCTCTTCCTAACATGACTCCTTTTTATTTCTTATAGTGAAAATATTCTAGAAATTGACTAAATCACCTATCTATAGAATATCTCCAGAAGGATACATACAAGTTTCAAACAGGGTGGCAGGGCCAGGTACAGAAGTGAGACTGTGAAGTTTTACAGTCACGGTACAACCTTTTATACCTTTTAAGATTTTGTGCCATAGTACATACATTACTTACCTGCCCCCCCCCCCCCGAAATTCATAGAATAGTTTTCAGAAAAGATCAGGCTAGAAAGGCTTACCTCCTCCACAGTACAGTGGGGACGCCTCAGACCCTTGCCGCCCTCTTCAGTGATCATGTCTGTTGTGACCTGTTCCTGAGGTTTCCACGTTAGGGAACTCTCTAGATTGCTTCTGCTATGGCGGCGGCCACCTGGTCTTCTATTATAGCCTTCTGAGTTCAAAGTAAACCTGAGAGACAGAAAAGAATTTTTTTATTTATCACCAAACTGCTTAAATTGCTGGAATCTAAGCCTCAGACCATTCTGTGATTAGGTTTCCCAGATTAAGTTTGCTCCTGACAAATCAGACAACTAGCATTCACTCAAGTTAGATGCATCTCTAGAGTAGAGGGCATCCCAGAACTGCACTACAGAACATCTATTTCTAGTCACCAAGGCTGCCACATAAAAGCCTCTGCCTTCTTTTCTTCCTCAAGTTCAATTTTCTAACCCCAGCTCTGGAATTAGCTCCCTACTGCACCTACCCTTCCTACTTCTGCACTTATCCTTTACACACTTGGAATTACTGGTATGACTGATGTTTATATCCCACACAAAATTTTAAATTCCATGAAGACAGGGACTATATCCTTTTATCACTATATCTTAGCACATGATCTAAGTGGAAAGGCACTCAATATCTGCTGAATGCTAAGTTAATGAATGTAAATTAAAAGCCTGTCTCTCCTGCCATTACAAATAATGGGATGCACTGACATTATACCGTCTGGACTGATGTTTTAAAAAGGACATGCCACATATATAATATTTTTACAAAAGAAGCTGCATAATCTAGCCCTGGCTGGTGTGCCCCAGTAGACTGAGCACAGCCTGTGAATTAAAAGGTCACTAGTTCAATTCCTAGTCAGGGCACATGCCTGGGTTTCAGGCCAGGTCCCCAGTAGGGGGAATGGGGAGGTAACCAATTGAACAATGTTTCTCTCCCACATTGATGATTCTCTCCCTCTCTTTCTCCCTCCCTCCTCCTCTCTCCAAAAATAAGTAAAAATAAAATATTTAAAAAAGAAAAAGTTGCATAATCTAAAACAAATATTGAATAAACATCAGACAAAATTGAAGAACATCCTACAAATATTTTATGCAGGGTGAGGCAAAAGTAGATTTACAGTCTGAGTATATGCAACAGTTTATTCTTGTACAATTATTTATTAATGTAATTACTGTACTACTTTCCATAGGAACAACTGCACATCTACTTCTGCTCCATTCTATACCCTTTAAAAATATCCATGCTATTAAAGACAAAGACAGTCTGAGGAGTTGTTCCAGATGAAAGGAGATTAACAAGACATGAAAATTAAATGTAATACATGATCCTGCACTGAACTGTGGACCAGAAAAAAAAAACAGTAATTGCTATTATGGATAAATTTGAATAAGATTATAAAACAGCATTATATGAAATTTCTGATTTTTGTAATCTATAATTATGTAAATAAATATCCTTTCTTTTTTTAAAATTTTATTTATTTACTTTTGGAGAGAGAAGAAAGAGAAGGAGGGAAACATCAATGTGTGGTTGCCCCTCACATACCCCCAACAGGGTACCCGACCCACAACCCAGGCATGTGCCCCAACTGGGAATCAAACTAGTGACCCCTTGGTTCGTAGGTCAGTACCCAATTCACCGAGCCACACCACCCAGGGCTAAATATTCTTATTCTCAAGAAAGAAACACAAACACACTCGAGTACTTAAAATTAAAATGTCTTAAATCTAAGACTCTCAAATGGTTCAGAAAAGAATATTATGTATATACAACAGTAAATAATAAAGAAATCAGCAAAATGGTAACAACTGGTGAATCTGGGTCAAGTGAAGACAAAATACACAAAGCAAAAACTGATACAACTGGGCAAAAAAGAAGTCTACAACTACAGTAGAAAATATCAATACCCCTTGTTCATTAATCAATAAAAAAGTAGACAGAAAATCAGTAAGACCTGTAAAATACCACAAACTTGAGCTGACATTTATAACACTCTACTCAACAAATGCAAAATACACATTCTTTTCAAGTGCACACTGGATATGACCCATATAGACCATATTCTAAGCCATGAAACATGTTATAATTTAAAAGACCTGAAACCATACCAAGTATACTCTCTGACCATAATGGAATTAAACTAAATAACAGAAAGACTGTTTAGTTTATAATTATTTAGTTTAATTCTCTGGAAAGTCCCAAATATTTGGATATTAAACAACAGATGTCTTCTATACTTCAGAATCACTGGTTAAAGAGAAAGTAAAACAGAAATAAGAAAATATTTTTAAATTGAATAAAAATTAAAACCAATTATTGCAAAATGTGTGGGATGCAGCTAAAGCAATGCTTATAGAAAACAATTTTAGCATTAAATGCTTAGAGAAGTTCATCTCCAAATATTTAAATATGTATCTTCCAAATACCAGGGCATCTTTTACATAACCATAATATAATCATCACATCCAGGCACTTTAGCAGTAATGCAATATGTAACATGTAGACCTATTTAAATATTAAAAATACCCTCCACATCGATTTTTCCCTATCCTAAACCCAGTGCAGGAGCCCACACTGCACTGGTTGTTGTCGTGTATCTTTAGTCTCCTTTGAACTGAAACTGGTTTTCAGCCTTTCCTCATCTTTATACTGAAGAATACAGGCCTTAATCAGTTTTCTCATTTTTAGATTTATATTACTAACTTTGCAGGAATATGAATTAACTGATGATGTCCTTCTCAGTGCAATAAATCTGAAGGCCATGATGTCCATTTGTCCCACTGTGGGTTTGCCTTTAACTCTTCCTTTGGTTAAGGTGGTGTCAAGCAGGTTTCTTGAAAATTACTATCTTTCCCTTTGTAATTAACAAGTAATTTATGGGGAGACATTTTGCACTTATGTAAATACCACATACCTCCTCAAACTTCTACTTACTATTTTGAGCTCGATTAATTCTTGTATGTATCAATTTCTACCATGATAATTACGAAATGGTATTCTAATTCTACCATTCCCGCTACACTTACTAGTGACACCCTACTATATAAAGTATAAAGATCTTTCCCTCCCACAGGACACGCTTATCAGCATCTGTATTCCTGTCTTTATTCATTTTAATGCTTAAATTGTCCCAAATTTGGCCAGTGGAAGCCCTCCTGTGTTGTATTGACATGTCCCCAGTTTTTTTAGCACTCCTTATATTTCTGGCACAGGATGTTCCGAACACATTTTGCATTTTCTTTCCTGGTTGTACAATCAACCATTTATCCAAGTCAGGAGAGCCCTAGATTTTAGTGAGTAACCCATCCTCAAATACAAGTGGACAGCCAAGGATCACCAGGTATTTGAAAAAAGACTCTAACATGAAAGTAAGACCAAAAATAAACCAAAGGGGGGAGGGAATTTAGAGGAAGTAAAATAGAGAAGAAATTTTAAAATAATTAACAGCTTTAGAGAAATAATAAAAGATAGTACATCCTTATAATAAGAACCAGATGCCTGGAGAAAGAAAAACCATGGGGAGTAGGGAGTGCGAGGATGCTTACAACTTAAAAGCTATAAAGCACCTCCCTGACAAAAAAATCAGTAAAAGATTTTTTTAAAAGGGCGAGGACAACAACAAAAAGAGAATATGCTTAAAAATTAGATCAATCCAAAAGATCTAATATCCAAACAGTAGAAATTGTAGAAAGTAAAAACACAAAAAGGAGAAGAAAATTACTAATAAAATAAGAACAGTTCAGTGTATGAAAATTCATCAGGCTAGACACATGATTTCTGCATGAGTATACTATACTTTAAAAAAAAGTTTATGCCATGGCTGGTGTTGCTTAGTGGATTGAGCACAGGCCTAGGAACCAGAGGATCACAGTTCGATTCCCAGTCAGGGCACATGCCTGGGTTGCAGGGCAGTTCCCAGCAGAGGACCCATGAGAGGCAACCACACATTGATGTTTCTCTCCCTCTCTCCTTCTCTTCCCCTCTAAAGATAAAGAAATAAAATCTTTAAAAAAAAAGTCTAGAAGTGAATGACAATTGTTTTTCAAAAGGTTTTCAAAATCAGATGTAATGAGTATATAAAATGGCAGAAAAAGTAACAAGTTCAAGTTTCTCACTAGCTGTACGATATTGCATAAGCCACTAACCTCAGAGTACTTACTTAATGAGATTACATAATAGAGTAAGAGTAAAAATGCCTCGCTAGCAAGAGTGAGCCCCTAATAAGTGCCAAGTACCCATTTAAAGAAGGCAGAGTTGAACACTTACCCAAAGGAAGGCAGGACTCTTCGAGGCTGATCGCGAGTTACTGTCACTCTGATCTTTGGATAGTCACTTATTCCATTAGGAGATTTATTACCTATTTTTAGAATGCATTTATAATTGTGAAAAAATAAATAAATAAAAACAAAACACTATCCACAGCCCGCATTAGGAAAAAAACAACTGTGTGATCAGTCTATATCATAGAGAATTACTTGTTTTATTTTTTCAAATGATACGACCACACAGCCCAGAGGTCCAGCACAAACTCCGTAAAGTCAAGGAAAAGCAATAGTGCTTAGAAAAACAATACACATGCAGACTTTTCTAGTTTTGCTTGCTGGGACCGATAAGAGGCATGAAGAACCCAATGATTATAACCCCCCCCAATAATCTAATGAAACTGAGTAAATTTGTCGAATTATGTCTTCTCCCCAAGAAAACGTAAGTATTTTTAAGTGAAAACTTGCCATATGTTACTACATTTCATTGGAAGCTTCTAATACCTGTTAGATGGCTACTATACTTCAAAAAATGGTAACCAAATTTTCATCAGCCACATTTTCTGCTGCAGCCATTTATAGGGGCTTGGAGTCCCTGAGGATTCCAAAATGCAACAGAAAAAAACTGAAAATTTTTCATAAGTCAGTAGCAGCAAAACCTAAACTAACCTGAATCCATTTGTTTACAAAACCTGAGTAGAGCCAATGTTTAACCCCAATGAATATTTTTAAATAAGTCAATAAACACAATATATCTAAAACAGGATAAATTCACAACCCCCAAACACATTTCTAAGGATTTCATATCAGAGACTACGGACTTCTTTCTGTAAGAAACCTGCCCTAGAAATAATTGTGCTTCTCTGACTATGCTATACAAACTTACAGAAATATAGTGCCCGTACCTCAGGCACAAGATAAATCTACTATCTCTTCCATATATCAACTTCAACGGCAAATAATTTTAAACATTTATATATTCAAACAATATAAATATTATTAAATTTAATTTGTATTAATTTTTAAAATAAGATTAAAGACTTTAAACATGTGTCATCTTTAGCCCTGGCTGGTGTAGCTCAGTGGATTGAGCACGGGCCTGTGAAGCAAAGGGCCGCCAGTTCAATTCCCAATCGGGGCACATGCCTGGGTTGCAGGCTGAGTCCCCAGTAGAGGACACATGAGAGGCAACCACACATTGATGTTTCTCTCCCACTCTTTCTCCTTCCCTTCCCCTCTCTCTAAAAATAAATTTAAGACATTTTTAAAAAAGAATAGATGAAAATACTATTTAAAAAGCAAAAACAAAATGTATCATCTTTGTCCCAGGTCCCTTGGAACCAGATTCTCAGACTTGAAGATACATACACTTTCCTTTCCTTCTCTCTTCTCTGCCACCAGAGGTACTTCACTTTAACAGTTTGTTTTAGAAGCATTGCTCTAAGGTTTTTATCATTTCCTTAGCTTCTTCCACTTTTAACTTCTGAACCCACAACTTCTCTAAAAGCTTTCTCCCCTTCCGCTCAAACTTTACAAATCCACCTGCCTGGCAGAGATCACACCATTTTCAGGACTCCGACTTCTTCCTAGTCCCCCACCACAGCATCATGTACAGTACATTCAATTTAAATGTACATTACATTTAAATTCCAGGGTATGGATGACATAGAGGTTCCTAATCCATAAAACTATGAGAACTGGGAACCTAAGATTTCTCCTCAATCAGATGATGTCCCTCAAAGGCAGAGTTTTCCTATTTTTATTATTGCTATTTGTTTTGTTATCAAAGGTTTTATTATTTTGTTTCTGATAACTTAGCACAGTGCCTGCCAGAGAATATGTCTCAGGATATGTTTGTTTTGTTTTGTATTGAATGAAACTTGATCTAAGTCACATTAAGGACAGTGATAATACAAATAGAAAACACAGTAAATTCAAAGACAATTCTAAAGGAAAGCTATTTGTTTTTTAAAATCAGGTTTTCCTTTCATTTTCTCAAAACTCAGAAAAAAGAGGCAGGGAAGATGGGGAAAGAGAGCATTTGGACCACCTCACCCAGTTTGAGCATGTTGTTCCAGGGTCCAGAACCTGTCAGTTCACAAGATGAAGAGTTCGAAAATACCTTAAAATCAAGCAGAATGATCTCTGTAGTACATAATTTCACAATTTAAGTTTCTAATAGAAAACAAACCATTCTATTATTTAGCCAGCTCACAGAAAAGAAATATCATCAATAAAGCCTGAGATTTAATTTGCAAAAAACTCACAAATGATATAAAAAAAATAACAATTCCAGGGTCTTCAAACATACTTATTATTTAGTAGTTAGGCTCTTTATACATATTTTTTAAGTATGTAATGTCTTAACTTCTAATATTTTGCCCTTTATACCAAGACTAATAAAGACATGAACATTTCTGGAAAGACGACACTGTACGCAGGAATTCCTAAAATGAGAGTATTTCCCAAATTTAATTTTAATGACTAAGTACAAAACTTTGTCAGTAACCCCAACAAAGCCCTAGCCCCACTGACCTCTCCTGAATGGGCTGCATTCCGTGTTCCGTTACAAGCAGAAGTTACCATGGGCTTTGTGGTCAGCTGGAGCGGGATTCCGAGTAAGCTGGCAGCATTATAGAGACTGTTTTTCACTTGGTGAATAAAGCAATCTAGAAAGTGTAATATAGATCACATACAGATATATATCGTGTAAGTAGAAAGTATTAAACTTCTGGTAAAACATAAGATTTTATCTGTAAAAAGGTCTTTCAATTTTTACTATGAGTCCTATTTTCAGTCACTGAAATAAAAAAGGATCTGTAAAACAGTTTTTCTCCTCCCTGAATAACTGGAATTCAAGCACTGTGATTTTTAAAAAGATTTTATTTATTTATTTTAAGAGAGGGGAAGGGAGGGAGAAAGAGAGAGAAACATCAATGTATGGTTTGCCTCTCACACACCCCACACTGGGAACCTGGCCTGCAACCCAGGCATGTGCCCTGACTGGGAATCGAATCAGCAACCCGGGTCACAGACCAGGACTCCATCCACTGAACCATGCCAGTCAGGGCTCAGCACTGTGATTTTTTTTTTAGTAAAATATCTGTGAAGCTACAAAAACATGAAATAATCAGTTCAACAAATCACACACTGATTCACACAGAAAAGTCCTGAAACAAAAACTTTCAAGCAATGAGTTTTCCTGAATATACAAAAAGGAATCTATACCCAAGACACAGGGGCATAACTTAACAACATGGAGCTTATAGTTTCTATGTATGGCAGACTCCTACAGGAAATACCACTTACTCCCTGGTCGGTCCTTCCTTCCTTCCTTCCTTCCTGGGCAGGTAACAATACAGTTGTCCCAAACAACTACTTACTAAGTGCCTATTGTATCTTGGCTATACCCAGCACAGAAATTAGTGAAGTATTAAGATATATAATTCTTTTTTTTTAAGATTTTTATTTATTTATCTTTAATGAGGAAGGGAAGGAGAGAGGGAGAGAAATATCAATGTATGGTTGCCTTTCATGTGTTCCCTCCTGGGAACTGGCCTGCGACCCAGGCATATGCTCTGACTGGGAATCGAACCATGATGCTTTGGTTTGAAGGACCGTGCTCAATCCACTAAGCTACGCCAGCCAGGACAAGATATATAACTCTTAAACACCTATGATAAAACAAAGCTATCCTTCTACCAGAGATGTACTGGAAGATCTCAGACTCACCCTCCTGCCCCCCGCCAATCAAACATAAAGTTTACAAAGTAAATAGTAAATAGTCCTGGATGGTGTGGCTCAATGGATTGAACATTGGCCCATGAATCCAAAGGCTGCCAGTTCAATTTCCTGTTAGGGCACATGCCTGAGTTGTGGGCCAGGTCTCCAGTTGGGGTGTGTGAGAGGCAACCGATGGATGTACCTCTCACACATTGATGTTTCTCTCTCTTTTTCACTCCTTTACCTTCTCTCTAAAGTAAATAAATAAAATCTTTTTAAAAAATCAGGAAATAAACATGGGGGAGGGGCCCAACTTTCTTCTTTTCTAACTGTCCATTTCTTATTTCCTATATTGATTATTTATTTTCTGCAATTTCCTTTCTATGTCCTAATTAAGGTATTCTAAAGCACCAATTGAAAAGATCATCACTCCAGCAACATTCTGCTTTAGAGAAAAATAGTCTGAAGTTGAAATGATGGCTTTTAAGCAACAAGCACTCTAGAACATATAAGACAAAATACTTTACAGAAAGGGAATAACTTAAACAGCAGGGAGAAGGTATTAGCTGAGTAAAGCAGAATCCAACCTGAAGTAATCTGTAACTAGAGAATAGTTAAAAGAATGAAAGTTTGCAAATAACCTGTTTCTTATTTTAGGAATTAGAAAGAATTCTGGGTTATCCCTCTGATAGTGTTGAGCTTTACATGGGAGAAAATTAGCTTTAAAGATTGATGCTTAATCTAGACAGTCAGTCATCCAACGCCAGAGGAAAAGAGGTACTCCTCTTAACAACATAGTTAATATTAGACACTAAAAAGTAATGTATTGTTTATTTTCCTATAAATTTTGTCAAAATCTGAGTACGCCCAAGATTATTGCAAAAGTTCTCACTAAAGAGGGGTAAAAAGGCAGGGGCGGGGGTGTTACCTCATCTCTAAAATGGGGATAAGACCACTTATTTTCCTGAGACTAAACGAAGTGCATCTCATAAAATCCCATTCTTCTATAAATCTTGAGCCTGAAATTCTAAGGCCCTCCTTGTTTTCTTTTACCCCTCCTAAAAAGCAACCAAGAGTTGTACTGCTTGTTACAGTAGCCACTAGCTACATGTAAGCTACCTAAGTTTCAAGTTAAGTAAAATTAAATTCAGTTCCTAGGTCACACTAACCCCGCTTCAAGTGCTCAGAAGCCATCGCGGCACCCAGTTCGATTGGAGAGCACTACTATAAACATTTACAAATTCTGCCCCTAAGTATCACCTCTGCTACTCACTACTTCCCCTGTGGCTTAGGTTCCCTTCTAGTTTTCTACTCATGGAAATCATGGAGGGAGAGACCCTTAACATAGAAGTCTAAAATGGATAATTGCCAAAATTATTTCAAGACACTTCTATAATTTCACTGTCAATTTTTTTAACCATATACCTTTATTTATATTTTTCTGTAAAATTGACTCACTTTTGCTAAAAAAATGTATTTGAAAGGCAACTTTTTAAAAATTTCAGTTACAGTTTACATTCATTATCATTCTGTATTAGTTTCACATGCACAGCACAGTGGTGTTAAAAGTGTGTCGTTTACAGTTAGTCACCTGATATTTCAAGTAACCACCTGGCCCCACACACAGTTATTAAGATACATATTCCTTACGCTATAATTCAATTTACATCTCTGTGACTATTCTGTAACTACCAATTTGCACTTGCTTAGAGAGGGGAAGGGAAGGACAGAGGTAGGGAGAGAAGCATCACTCAGTTGCCTCCAGCATGCACCTGTCTGGGGACCAAACCCGAAACCCAGTCATGTGCCCACGGCCTATAGGATGCTGATCCAACCAACTGAGCCACACTTGCCAGGGTCAATTTGTAGATCTCAATCCCTTTGCCTTTTTCACCCAGTCCCCTAACCTCCCTCCCCTCTGGCAACAATCAATCTCTTCACTATATCTATGAGTCTGTTTCTATTTTGTTTATTTTGTTCTTTAGAGTCCACATAAGTGAAACCATACTGTATTTGTCCTCTGTGTGACTTATTTCACTTAGCATAACACCCTCTAAGTCCATCCATGCTGTCACAAATGTTAAGATTTCGTTCTTTTTTATGGCCAAGTAATATTCCATTATGTAAATATACCATAGCTTTTTTTATCCACTTGGCTACTGAGGGACACTTAGGCTACTTCCATATCTTGGCTACTATATATAATGCTGCAATGAACATAGGGGTATATATATTATTCTGAGTTAGTGCTTTGGATTCCTTTGGATATTAAAAGGTAATTGTATATTATTACTGTGAATATAAAACATTATTTCCCTTGAAAACACTGCCTTAGCCTGTGTGGGTCAGTTGGTTGGAGTGTCATTCCATAAACCAAAAAATTGTGGGTTTGATTCCAAGTCAGGGCACATACCTAGGTCCCCTAGTCAGGGGTACATGCAAGAGGCAACCGATCCATGTTTCTCTCTCACATCAATGTTTCTCTTTCTCTCTCTCTACCTCCTTCACCCTCTCTCTAAAAGCAATGCAAAAATGTGCCCTGGCTGGTGTGGATCAGTGGACTGAGTGGCAGCCTGCAAACCAGGGGGTCGCTGGTTCAATTCTTGGTAGTAGCACATGCCTAGATTGCGGGCCAGGTCCGGGGAGCCAGGGGCAGGAGGGAGGACATGAGAGGCAGCCACACATTGATGTTGCCCTCCCTCTCTTTCTCCCTCCATTCCCCTCTGTCTAAAAATAAATAAATAAAATCTTTAAAATAAATAAATAAAAAATAAAAATAAAAGCAATGAAAAAATGTTCCAGGTGAAGCATTAAAAAAAAAAAAAAAAAAAAAAAAAAAGGAAAGATGCACTGGCTGGTGTATCTCAGCAGATTGATCATAAGCCTGTGAACCAAAGAACTGTGGTTCGATTCCCAGTCAGAGCACATGCCTGGGGTTGCAGGCCAGTTCCCAGCAGGGGATACACAAGAGGCAACCATACATTGATATTTCTCTCCCCTTCTCCCTCCCTTCCCCTCTAAAGAGAAATAAGTAAAATCTTTAAAAAAAAAAGAGCCCTGGGTGGCATAGCTCAGTGGATTGAGCGCGGGCCTACGAACCAAAGGGCTGCTGGTTCAACTCCCAGTCTAGGGCACGCACATGCCTGGGTTGCAGGCCAGGTCCCCAGTAAGGAGGCATGTGGGGAGCGGCCACACATTGATGTTTTTCTCCCTCTTTCTCTCTCCTTTCCCTCTCTAAAATTAAATAAATATAATCTTAAAAAAAAAAAAGAAATGAAAACGAAACAGATTATATTCTAGTTGATGCTTGAATAACAAAGGTATGAACCATGCAGGTCTACTTACACTCCGACTTTTTCAATATTGTAAATGTGTTTTCCTCATGATTTTCTTTTCTTTAGCTTACCTTATTGTAAGATACAGCTCGTAATATATATTATAAAATAGACGCTAACTATTTGTCATTAAGACTTCCAATCAACATAAATGGTTAAATTATTCTGGGGAAGTCCAGAGTTATACATGGATTTTCAACTTCCTGGGGTAGTCAGTTCCTCTAACCCTCATGTTGTTCAAAGGTCAACTGTGTTCAGTAAGTATTAAAGACCAACTATGCATTCAACCAAGATTTTCTCCTTAAAATAATCAGAAATTTAAAACAACTGAAAAGATTACAACTTTTTAGTACATAATTCAAATGTTACTTAATATTATGAACATTGTACCTCCTAAATCATTTCCTGACTGGTATTTATCCTCTGCTTTGGGAAATATCATCCTAATGAATTTGGATATTCCTGGCATTCAAAGTGTTGCACAATTTGATCTCTTTCTCTAACTTTTTCCCCTAAGTTCTCTTCACTAGTGCCTGACTAGCACAACTTCCCAATCCCTTCCCTCTTCCTAGAAAGCTTTTCCTTCCCAATGCTCTCTGCTGACATCCTATCCATCCTTCAAGATCCATCTCACAAGCCCTGGCTGGTGTAGCTCAGTGGATTGAGCGCGATCCACCACACGATCGCGATTCGATTCCCAGTCAGGGCACATGCCTGGGTTGCAGGCCGGTTCCCTGCAGGCCAGTTCCCAGCAGGGGACGCACAAAAGGCAACCATACATTGATGTTTCTCTCCCTCTCTCCTTCCCCCCCTTCCCATCTAAAGATAAATAAATAATAAAATTAAAAAAAAAAAGATCCATCTCACATACTAGCTCCTTCATCGAATATTCACTGGGACTATTAACTAGCGAAAATTGGACAGTATTTTGTTACTACCTTTCTTATCTCATTATCATAGGATCATTGACATTGGTATCATTTATGTGCTTATCTTATATTCCCCATTATATAATCATATACCCTTATCACTGTAAAGTTTTTAAAATAGAGATCCTGCTTCTCATTTTTGTATTCCTGGAGAACCTAAGTCAGCACTTAGCAGTAAGACATGCTCAGTAAGTCCTCATTAGATTTAAATGAAATCTTAACACAGACTGCCCACTCTTCACTACCACATCTGGAGGTACATCCAAATTCACGTGCATTTTTGAAAAGAGGAAAATGGAGTATTCCACTGTGCCTTTTCCCTTTATTATAATTTTACTCTCTTCTATCAAATGATGTCTAGCCCTTCAGATTACAAGAAAGAAGTAAACAATTTGGAGCAACACATTAATGAGATTGCTTCATTCAGCGATCTGAACCAGATGACAGTTTAAAGTAGTTTTTATAATGTTTTCTCCTCAAATTAAAAAAGCAACTTTTCTTTTTAGGAAATTTAGAATTTCAGAATGTACATTTTTAAAAGGAGCTTTAAGAAAATGTATATTCAACCTATAAGGTTTATCTATCTGGAATGACATGTAATCCCCTGGGTAAAAGTGGTTACATCCAGAAAAGATAACTGAGTAGATGAAGAACAGGAAAGAGACTTACTTTCATTTCATATACTTTTTACTTTTTGAATTCTGTTACATGCATATAGTTTTCCTATTAAAATACTAATTTTTACATGGGGACGAGGTGGCAAATGGTGAAGTCGATGGACTGCTGCTAAAACACTAATTTTAAAATTAATATTCAATACCTAATCTTGGTCTTTTGGCTGGTATTTCATCAGTGTCCACTGTGGATAATGAAGTGCTAAAAAAAAAGAGAAGAAATAAAAAATGTGTATATATATATATATATATATATGTATATATATGCACGCACGCACACACACACACCCATTTCTGTAAGTAAGCGTAGTGTTTATATGACACACCTTCCTCTATCCACTTTGCCATAAAATGAGATCAAACTTAGGTTTTAAAAGAGAATGCTACTCCATAGTAGGACTTAACCCTATTGTTTTAACTATTTGAGAAAGCACAAAATTCCCTACTATATAGTAGTAATCTGTAATCTGGCTAAAGTAGGAACTTGAAACTGGCCAGAAATCACTTGGCTTAGTAGGTGAACAGAGGTAAGGGCCCAAGTTCTTCTCTCACTCAGGCAATGACTTAAAAACAACAAAAGCGGGCTTTTGGACCAAAGGATAGGTTTGGTTCCCAGTCAGGGCACATGCCTGGGTTGCAGGCCAGTTCCCAGCAGGCGACACAGGAGAGGCAACCATACATTGAATTTCTTTCCCTTTCTCCTTCCCTCCCCCTCTAAAGATAAATAAATCTTTAAAACAACAACAACAACAAATACCCTTTTGAAAGATGATACCCCCCCAACCCTGGCGGAGTAGCCCAGTTGGTTAGAGCGTCATCCCAATGTACCAAGCTTGTGGGTTCAATTCCCAGTCAGGGCACATACAAGAATCAACCAATGAATGTATAAGTAAGTGGAACAATAAATTGATGCCCCTCTCTCTCTAAAAATCAATAAATTAAAAAAAACAAGTTTTTAAAAAAGATGACATCTTGAAAGATAGTTCTCAGCCAGAAAAGCTGTTATATATTCACCTTTTTTATTTTTTTACTGACACTATTACAGATATCCTCATTTGCCCGTATCCATCCATAGTCACCTTTCTAAAGATGACTGTGATTGATCTTATTTACAAAAAATGAGCAGAATAAATCCCTATTTAGGAATTGGTATATAGGAATATACCATTCAGGTCATTATTTTAAACATCCCAACAAGACCTCCTGGCTTAATTTTGACTGAAAAATGCCTTACCTTGAGAAGAGTTGTTTTTGATTAAGGCTGTGTGGAAAAAACAGGGTTTTCATCTCCAAACTAAAGTTTCCCTGACTAGTGGGGGATTCAAAGCAAAAAGAGAGGATAGGGGAGAGCAAACTCACATTCCTTTATTTAGCAAGTATGTATCAACTATGTATCACTATGTATCGCGGAGAGCAAACTCACATTCCTTTATTTAGCAAGTATGTATCAACTATGTATCACTATGTATCGCACTAACCTCTGCACAAGGCCCTCTAAATACTATGCATATATAGTAAGCATTATTCTATTATAAAATGTTCTCAAATGATCCTTATATCAACCTTACAGAAAGGTAGAAAGGAAAATTAAGTTGAAACCTTGCTCTCTCTGGAACACATTAACAGTCTACTGCTTTTTTTAAAAAACCCTCATTGGAGGATATATTGATTTTAGAGGGAGAGGAAGGGAGAGAAACCCCACTGGGAATGGAACCCACCACCTTTTCATGTACAGGAGGATGCTTCAATCAACTAAGCCAGCCAGCCAGGGTTCAACAGTCTATTTCATCAATAATCTGCATTCTCAGATTCATACATTAATCATCTTATTCTCTCAAATTCCAAGAAACTACCCTTCAATGATCTTGAGGCTTAATAAAAAAATTTTGATCTAAAAGCTTGGGGGGCAGTGTATAGAATTGGTATGGTATTTTACTCTCTCAATTCTTAAGGAAGGGGGCTCACACTATAAATAATGGGACAAACTAAAGAATAAATGCTAAGTAAGAACAGTTTTTGATTCCCCCAAAATTTTAACTTCAAATATAGGACAGTGATCTTTTTAAAGGAATGAAGTACCTTTTCTCCCCTCATACACTAATCTAAAGCAAAGAACCAGTCTCCCTACCTCGCTCCCCAAATACACACACACACACACACACACACACACACACACACACACAGAGTTGGACAGCTGTATCAGAACAAGACAGCTACTGTCTCGGTGCTAAGAGGACAGTATATTTGCAGCCAAAACAGCCTTGGGCAAGCTAGCAATCTAATTTCCCTTAACTGCGGTTATTGCCCAGATGACATATGGGAGGTGTGCTTTGTAAGCAGTGAGCCAAAACAAATTTTTAGTTCTCAACCTAAGAGCTGCAAAGTATGATAAAGCCCCATGTATTGACAGGAGGCAGCATGGACTCCGACAAGAACATCAAGTCCTAATCATTACCTGTCACTCCAAAGACAACTAGCTCCTTCCATCATCAGGAGCAGCATCCACACAGGACGAAGGGAGATACTACGTCACCGGGACACCCGCGACCAGCACCTTTAACACCAAGGCCCAGCTACGCATTTGGGCTGAGTTTAGACTGAACCGGGCCTGCCAGGCTGGATCAGCGCACTCCGCGGAGCCTGGGATGGGGGAGGGGGACGGTGACGAACAGGCCCACACTCAGTCCCCGCCCGGCTCACCTGTTCGAGCGCCGCCTCTTCAGGAGGGCCCGGGTAGGGGGCGCCGGCCGATCACAGAAACGAAAAATGGTGCCGAGAATCCTAACCAGCCATTTGTACATACCAAGCCCAAGCAGCAGCGGCGGCCGACACACCCCGAGACACAAACCCCAGAGTTGTCGCCGCCGCTGCCGCTTTCGCCGTCTCAGCCACCACAGCCAAGGTTCAGTCGCCGACTTGTGACGCGATCTGAAGGCCCACAGATACAACGTCCCCAGGTCTATGGGAGGACCCCGCCTGCCACCGCTCTTGACGTCACCCCCTCCCACCCCACTGGAAGACATCTTCTTCCTCAATCTACGCACGCGCAACCTAGAACCCACCTTCTGCCGGAGGTTCCCAGCCCAATCATTGAAGAGACGGAAAGCGATGTGGGCGGGGTTTTCCCTTCGGCGGAGCCAATCCTGAGACGGCTCGCGGGACAAGGCCCACCGGCTACATGTGAGGCTTCTACTTCAGGGAGGGAGTGCTCCGAGGGCCTGAAATATAGTTGGTACTGAGTAAATGCTTGAATACACAAAATAAAGATGGTTCAGGTTAATTGACAAGTGTCTCCCATGCTAGGAGTTCTCTATTTTGATTATACCTTGTACTTGACGTGAACTGTAACCTTCACTTCTCTCAGCAACCGCAGGCAATGGAGAGTCTTGTGCCCATTTTTAATTAATAAGGAAATCCAGAACTAGAGCGGTTAAGTAATGTGCCTAAAGTCACAAAGCTAGTTAGTGGCTGAGTTGGAATTTGAACCAGGGTCTGAGAACTAGCGCCAATCACCGGCCCTGGAGATCTACTGATAAAGACAAGATTACAAGTTACAAGACAATTGGCAGTTGTGATAAAGGTGTATACAAAGTGCAGTAGGCGCCAGAGAAAGAAAAAACACATGCAGGGGAGAAGGAAAGGGCCGAACTCCAGGAAGGCTTCACAGAAGCTTAAAAATTAAAAGGTACCTGTGGCCTACTAGCAGCTACTAGTCCCCTCCCCTGGGCAGGCAGGGAGTGCTGTTAATTAATCTGGTATCTAGAAGTCACATTTTTGGTTAATTATCAACAACAGTAAAAGTACCACCCTACTCAGTGATTTAAAAAAATCCAATCCCCACCCCCAGGGCCTGGAATCTTCACAGGTTTTCATATACAAGTTCCCTCCAGGCTGCGCTTGATCTTTACCTGTGATTTAGTTAAGGCCAGACTTGCAGACTTGCTTTAACTTCAACACAGGCACTCCTCATTATAGCCTCATCCTTTGTTCAAAAAATCAGTATTCCGGAATTCTGCTGCAAGCTACCCCCTAGAGCTCCAGAACCACTAGCTACCCACTTGTGGCTACTACCACTCTGGCGTGGGGGCAGGATGCACTTCCTACAGGACGGAAGCAAATCCTAAGTGTGGACATAGGCCCCTTAATTCCCCAAAACACAGCTAACATCAAGATGTTACTGAAAGTTTGAGAATATTGTAATAGGAGGATTACAAAGCCTAGAAGATTTACAAGTGGCTATCCCAAGTACAGTGTCTATAGTCCATTGGCTCCGAAGAGGCCTCTCCTTTTCTTTTCAACTTCTACTCTTTTCCTACTCTTCTCGGCATCTTTTACAAACCACCAATAGAAAAGAATTTCCCCTCCACCTTGACCCCTACTCATTTCAGGCAGGACCACCAGTTAACTTAAGACTAATGTTGGTATTATTATCCAGAGCAGTTTAGCTGTGTGTCAAATGTCCATTCCACTTTAAGAGTTGGTCTTTGCTTTTGCCTAACTAAGAACACCACTCAAGTATTGGGAAGAGATTCCCCAAAACAAAAGGACAATTTTCATTCAAAAAATAAATCCGAAAACTACAAGCTGCTGTAGGATAGCAGATTCTCCCACGTTCTGGCCACCAAGATTTAAAAAATGAGCATCAAGTCTCAGAGCACTCTAGTACAACACAACACATTTTTTCTTCTTTTTCTGCCTCATCAGTAGCACCTGCACATACCCAATACTGAAATGTGGGTCACCCACCATGAAAGGTGGAAACCTCAGTCTGAATCCCTGAGCCTAATCAGCAAACAGTTCCTAAGTGTGCCAGCCCCTACCTCGGGAAACATACACCCGCTCTGTGTCCTCTCAATGTTGACCTTAGAAACAGAGGAAAGAAGGGGACTCAGCCTTACCATTGCTGCCGCCTGAGACTTCTTTGCCGGTTGATGCCTTTGTTGTCCTGTCGTCCATAATAGGGACTGTCCATCCATTGGTCAAGGAATGAGATTATCCTTACCCCCAACCCCACCACTGACACTGCCATTCCTGGACCCAGAAACTCTTTAGCTGGGGGCCAGAGAAGAATCCCAACGCCGGGTGAAATAACAAGAACAATCAGATTTCTGCCCTTGCTTTGGATAATTTGCACTCTTGTACTCCCAGAAGAGCATAAGCTCATTACTTATGTTTCCGTTGGGTATCCTAAAAGGTTACCCCAGTTTCCCGAAAAGATGTTTGTCTTGCTCTGGCCGAGATCCTCACCTTCAAGCCTTTCCAAGCCCCAGCCCCCATCTTCCTCAAACCCTATCTCTCCTCTGCAGAACAATGTAGACCCAGCCCTCCAATCCAGTCTTTAGTCTTGCAAATTTCCCCTTTGTTATCATTCTCAGAGTGTTAAAAGATTTCCTCTCAACTTTGTTTTTGCTGACTCCTGTCAGATTGGAGCTGTGGGCCATTTGATGGAAAGGGAAAGGAGGCCACAGATGAGATGTTGGTTTCGTCCTAATGTACTTAAAATCTAACATAGTTCACCAATCTGAAGATTCATTTCCTTCTGGAAACCAACTTCTCTGAGGCTCAAGAAAAACATGTCCTTATAACATAACTTTGATGTTATTCAATCTGTGGTAATAATAACCTTGGCCTTATTATCCAAAAGCAAGTGTAGTTCTTTCTTGTCCTAGATTTTATTATAAAGTTTGCTCACATTGACTACAGTGACTTGCTCTGCCTCGTGTGGAGAAATAATAATAGCTAGCACCAGGCCCTACCTAAGCTTACTCAAACCTGCTTTTCAAAGCTATGGGCTAATTAAATGTGTTTATATATGTGAAGGCCCAGCATAGCTAAGTGCTTAGTGTTTTTCTTACCCCACCTCCCTTCTAACAAATCATTGAACTTGCCAATTCTGCATCCTACATTTTCCTCAGACCAGTCCTTTCCCCTCACCAAACCCAAAGAGCTGCATTCATTCAGGGCCTGATCATTTCTCACACCATCACAATAGCCACCCCCTTTTCTACCCTCCCCTCTTCTATGCTATTTTCAAGGTGATTGTTCTTTGTTTTCTGGGTTTGTTTGGTTTTTTTTTTTTTTTTTTGCTGTTTTGTTGCCTTTTGTTAAGGAAGGTAACTTTATACTGTTGTTCTCATTTAATAAGGACAGTAAATTATTTCTGTTATTACTGAATAACTAAAATTGGTTGGGTTGATTTACACCAAATTCCAGAGATTTGTTTGGAGTGGTGAAACTTAGGGTCCTTATAACTTTGATTAAGTTTAGTTTTAAATTTTAGCCCTAGAAATTGTATCTTGTCTCTCTCTCTACCCTTCAGAGACTTAGCCTTTCCCCTGGATAATCAGAAACCCCCAAGGCAGCAGAACACAGTGGTTGAGACCTCACTGTTGGTTACAAGGTCTGGGCTTGTGGCAAGCTAAAGGAAACATCTTGACCTACTTGTTTCAGTTCCCTCTGACTACTTTCTCATGAAACCAGACCAAGGGATTCCTGAAAAGATCTCAGAGCTGTCTTCAAGATCTGAAGAAATGATTTATTACCCTTATCTCACCCCTGACCAATCAGCTCCCCAAACCCAATAATCCACAGTATTTTGTAATTTTGCCCTGTATAATCTGTAACCTACACACTAGTGGGGAGTTGGGTCTTTAGCACATTAGTTTTACATCTCGGAATTGGCCAATTCGAATATAAAATAATTTTTTTTTTCTATACTGTAAACTCTTTGTGCATTCTTTTGGGCCAGTGCATGCAAACAGGCAGGCCCTAGGCAAAATATTGAGTTTCTGATAATAGCAGTCTGACTTAAATATGGGCAACCCTAAATTTTTCTTGGATAGTCCTAGTGAGAACTTCAAAAAGAGAAACGAGTAACTCTAGCAGTAGCTGAAACTGAGGTACAGCCAGAAGAGGAATGAAAGACCTTGCTGAGTTAGCAGGAACCCCTTTTGGAGCTAAATATATAAGTATATACACCTTTTCCCTTCTAAATTCTTCTGACTGGGCTAATAATCAAATTACCAGAGACAGATTAACGGGACAAAGTCCAATTTTTAATACATGCACATGGGAAATTCACATAAGCATTAAAATTTCAAAGACAGGTAAAATTGTGTATATGTAATTTTGGACAAAGGATAAAAGTTGGGGGTAGGAGTCTGAGATTTCAGAAGTGGGAATGGGAGATTCACAGGTAGCTAAGAAAGAACTGAATGTGTGTTCATAGCAGGTAAATTTCTGCAAGGCAACAGAGAAACAATGAAATGGGGTAATCTAGAAAACAGGCCCCCATTTGACACCCTCCCATCCACCAAACTAATTCAAGTTAGAATGCTAAAATGAACATCCTAAGATTTTCTCCCCGGGATAGGTGAGTCTCTCAGGCAGGAAAGAGGGGAGTGTCAAAGATTCTCTCTGCATCTTTTTAAAAAATATTTTTAAAAAAATAATTGCAGCAAACCTGGCTGGTATAGCTCAGTGGAGTGAGCACAGGCCTGTGAACCAAAGGGTTGCTGGTTCGATTCCCAGTCAGGGCACATGCCTGGGCTGCAGGCCAGGTCTTCAGTAGGGGGCATGCAAGAGGCAACCACATGTTGATATTTCTCTTTCTTTCTTCCTCCCTTCCCCTCCCCCTAAAAATAAATAAGTAAAAATCTTAAAAAAAAAAAAGACCTATGGGTAAAGTGAATTTCCTGTTTGATGATCCCAGAATTATAAAAGATTTAAAATAATAATAATTGCAGTGATGTTTTTATATTTTTTAATTGATTGATTTTAGAGAGAGAGGAGGGATATATATATATATATATATATATAGAGAGAGAGAGAGAGAGAGAGAGAGAGAGAGAGAGAAACATTGATTTATTGTTCCCCTTATTTATATACTC